TGTGCACAGCCAGCCTTGTACTCTTCTAGGTTAAAAAAAAACTGTCGTCCATAAAATGCGTTGCACAAATTCGAACATCTGGGTTGTGCTGTTCTGTTGTAAATAAATCTTAACCAATGATTCCTAATTGCATCTACTTCCGGAAGGCCAAATAAAGTGATTTTGCTTTTGCCTAGAAACACAGCGTCTCCCTGACATGTTGCTTCAACACTAACTGCGGTTACTTGAAACCACGCCTTCTTTCTTTGCGTGATCATTTGGGCGCATTATGCAAATATTTCCACATGGTGATGTAGATATGTGGGGGCGTGTTAGAATGAGCCGTTTTAGGGGGGCGTGGCAGAGTCTTAACTTTGATAAAGAATATCTCTTTGGTTTTGAGACTTTAGTCTTTGCAACTTCAGGGATCTTATCTATGCACAATCAGCTTGTAACACTCCAAAGAGAAAGGAAAACTTGAAATCGCATCATATGACCCCTTTAAAACAAACAGAGATGGTTGTTTTAAACAAAACAACAACATTCAACAGGCAAAATATAGTCTAATTACTCTTAAGTTCTACTCTGTTCTAGTTCTTTTAAGTAAGCACGGTCAGAACAGTCTGATTCCCTAAACATGACTCTGAACCAGTCCTTTTTAGTGAATCAAAACATACAGTGCATCCAATAGTCTGATTTCCAAATGAATGACTAAATTAAAATCAAATTAAACTAAATTAAATCAAAACAATCAACATACACAGTCCAATAATTGAACAAATGGCCATTATGAATCAAAAAACATAATGTATATAAAATACATGTTTTGTGTTTTTCATTGTTTAGTACTAAAACATCAGTAGGACTAAGTATTGGATTGTATTTATGTCTTTATGTCTTTATGCCATTAAGCCAGCGCACTTCTCAACAACAAACCGTGTTTAACCTGCGTAAAGGTCTTAAAAGTATCAATCATTCATTTGCATTGACAGCGACAAGTAAAGACTCTTATTTATCACTGATAGTGTGTGCTCCTCCGAGCAGAAGGACATTTTCCTTAAACCAGACTGAGAGCTTGTCACCCAGAATAGCTCTAAATGAAATGAAACTCAAGTCTGGTTTGGTTTATTGGACGTGAGCGTCTAGATACATCAGAGAGGTGGCATAAATAGACAGACCTGAGAGTCCAAGGCCAGAGAAATCCATTTACACAAACTGGAACGCTTACCTCACAGTACACACAGTACACAGTACATGACTGCGTCTGACATACTGCACAGAATATACTGTATAATGGCTAATATAAAAAAATAGTACGTGAAATGGTACAAAATATGCAACAATAAGCATGACAAAAGTATGTTACATGGTCATCATGTTTTATATATGAAAGGCATTCAGTATAGTAAGTAGTTATTTTGTACTTTTATTTATATTTAATGTAAAAAAAAAATTTTTTAATAAAATAAAATGTATGTCTCTTTAAGCTGGATCTTTTGAGTAAATTAAAAGACTTTTATGAGTTGGTTCTTTCAGGTGAATTAAAAACAGTTTAGCCAGTCTACACTGATTCCTGAACAATTGGTTTTAAAGAGTCGTTTGTTTTAAATGAAATAAAAGCACAGTGTAGTCTGATTCTTGAACAAATGACTCTTGAGCAGATTCTTTTAAGTGAATCAAAAACATAGAGCACGGCCAGTATGGTTCAACTCCTGAACAAATGACTCTAAACCAGTTCTTTTTAGTGAATCAAAGCATACTGCGCATCCAGCAGTCAGATTGCTGAACAAATGAATCTTATGATAAATTAAACAAAAAGATAAAAATAATAAAAGTAGTATACTACATGCTCGTCATGTTGTAT